CAGGTTTCCCGGTCATTAACATGATCTCTCAACTCTCGGTAGGTGACAGAGACCCCTGCTACGCCCATAGACCAAATACGAAAAAATTTGCTATGTTACCAATCAAAACTAATTACTGAAGAAACTATTATTTGATGAGTTGTTTTCTATAATTAAGGAAGGATGACAAATGATTATTCAAATAAATATTAAACCGTACTCTTCTTCCCGTTCACTTCCTCTGGTATGTTTTGTTGTGCTTTCTGAAGCTGTACTTGGAGCTGCTTTTTCCTCTTCTGATGTCATGTCTCGTGGAGATGGCTCAACGTCAGACGAGAACTCGTCTTGCCAATCTGCTAAATAGAACATATTTCCATGAAGCATGGAGCAAACGAACATCTATTGAAAGATTCTCCTGAGGAGAAACCGGGATTAAAGTAGCAAGAAAGAGCTGACAAACCTTCATTGCTGATATGGTTTGCGAGATTGACGTCCATCGTTGTACTCTGAGACATATGGGCACTGATTAAGTCGGACACACCGCGAATACTCGACGCATCGACCGAAGCAGCCATTCCCATTCTAAAATTACAAATTGGATTAATCTGCTTTGGAGCAACGTAAGCCAAGTTTTCCCAAAAGGTCCCTAAGCATATAAAGCAGGGCTACTTATTCAAGTGGTCAGAGAAATGTTAATCGAGAGGCTCGCCAGGCTGCGTTCATACTTTGAGTCAGCGTTCTGAGCGACTAGGACAGTATAGACATCGATATACCGCTATGAACGTGCGCCAGCGTTTTATTTACTGCCCGCGAAAAGCTCAAAACTCCCACGGAACGTTCGAAACACTGGCGTATGCTAAAAGATCGATACCTATACTATGTACACTATACTCTTCATCTATACTAAATCATATCTACACTTTCCTGTGACTAGAAACGCTAAGTAGGAACGCAGTCTAAGACTTAGCAGATTTCATAGAAGCATCAAAGAAATTGTATGAAATCGCTAGGACGCAAAAGTGCTCCAAAATTCAGTGATCGTATGTATAAAGAGCGGTGGAGAAATGCCAATAAAAATCATAAAGAATCCAGTGAACATAGGAGTTGGGCTTGAAACTGTTGGCATGCTATTTATGCAGGAATTATTCGAGAAATTAAAAACTAAGGGGGAGTAGTGAAAGTGCAAGTCCGTAGAGCATGGAACCGATTGCCACATAAACTCACTGATACTGCACACCACAGGGCAAGTAGTAACTAGAAAGCATATTGGTACTGGTTGTTTTATTGAAACAACATATTTCCTGAAGAAATGCTTGCAAGAAGTTAGCCATCAGCCACCACCTCTACGTCCATGCGAACGCCATGATTTGCAGTAAGCGAAAATGATTGTCGCAATGAAAGGCGACTTAATACGAATTGAAATAAACCGAAGGAAATTAAACGAAACTGACCTCGTACGAAGTTGCGCTTGTGGAAGTGGCATGTTCTGCATTAACTCGAACTTATCATTTCCCATTAGATATTTGGTACGTTCCATATGGTCGACATGTGTACGTAACAATGCATTGTACCTGGAAATCAATTCAAATGAACACGACAGTCACCAGAACAGACAATGAAATGCAAAGCACAGTTGGTGGGAGCAGTCCGGCCGTGGAGAGGGGGGGGGGGAAGATTTTGCACTTTAGCTACCCACTAGTTCCTGTTCAAATCCCACTTCGCAAGATTTCACAGGTCTCCACTTGATGGCTCGACACGTCGATAGGAAGCAGCAAAAGTACAGAATGCCCTCCCCCCGTCACCGAACTGCGCCCGTTTGCTGGTCACTACCCACGTGCAAACAATCGAGTTCGTTTCAGCGTAACGAGACCGTAAGCGCCCTCGAAAAACTGAATTCTGCGTGCGCCTTATTCACGTCATAATGACCACTTCCGGCAGCATTTTTACAAATTTTACAGCTACTGTTTTCCCGTCATACCTCTTGGAGGCACACTCCGCGTTTATCTGGCGCTCAGGTGCTTACTTTGGAGGGGTGGTACTGCCTGCAAGCATGGAGGACGTACCACTTTCGCAGCGTAAAAATACGTGAGAAAAGCGCCATCTGCCAACACTTCTCCGCACACTAGCCACGGCGACGCCCAATATTCATTTTCAACCGCTATGACGGTGGTTCCACGGTTCCAGTGCTAACTCTTACCATTTCACATGGTGAGAATGAGGCAATAAGTAGAAAGAAATGGCATCAACAAGTGAGAACTCGTCCTTTTCTTTGCCTTATGCACGACAAGCGCGGTTCACATGGCATTCTATACGGGGCACTTCGCACGGGTTTTCAGTGCTTTCCGCTTCATATTTGTGCTGATTACCATGTTGTTACTAGTATTACTGAACAGTCCAAACAAAAATTTCAAACGCAGGGTGTGCTTTTCAGAAGGAAATTTCCCAAAATGCTCCTTCTTCTTCCTAGCGTTCTTGTGCAACAGTTGTCGGGTACGCAGCCAACGCTTTACAAGGGTTCTAGTGAATAGCATCGGATGCGGACAGGCCAGCAGCTG